TAGAAGTCTACTTCCTTTCAATTATTTTTATTTGGTATTGTTCTTGCATTTGTATAAGTTTGAAAAATCAGTTATTCTTGCATTTACCTGTCATGGTTTGTCCTCAACTTTAACTATTGGCCACTTTTGTTAACGGTCTTGATAGTATATAAATTACTTTATTAATGCGTACAACGTTAACAAACTCTTGTGGTCTGGTGGAAACAGACCCACTTGTTGCCCAAAAAACGTAGGTTCGAACCATTATGCTTCCAATTTTGGTTATTCTTTTTGTTTTAAAAAAGGGCATAATTGTAATTTTGTTTTCGTCTTCTATCTAGGGTTTTCGAGTTCTGCAACTCTTTTTCGCGGCCGCAAGCCAATTTTTTCACATAGTCAGTCAGTTTTTTGCATTATTCTTATTATTCACACCTAAATCTTATAGATCTGGCATACATATATTGATTTCAAGTCTTAAACGAAGAAAAAAAAGAATTTTCAAAGAATTTGATTTCAAGTCTTAAACGACTAATTGGTCTTGGCGGCCGCTTTTTAGAACATGGGATACAGACAATGGATCCGAGAGAAAGAAAATAAAATAGGAAAGGATGAGAACAATACACTGGAAAAAGCCTCTGTGAAAAAGAAAAAAAACAAAAAACTTAAAAAAGAAAGGGACTAATCTAAGAAAGAAATCAGCTTGTGGTCATGAATGGAATTGCTCTGATGACAAGCTGTTGGTAGAGAGCCACAAGAGCTGCACCAACGAATAGTTTCACCCAGAAAATCCACTGCAATAACAAAGAAAACGACCAAAATAGCATTAGAAGAAGATGAAATCAACAAAAAATTGTAAAATAATTAAATGGGACAGATTCTTACGTGGTCGTCCCAAGTTTGGTCCTTGTTGTAGATGATTGCAGATCCGAACTCAAGTGAACGAAGAACATAGCAAAAATGGAGAGCAGCAAGAAAGAGGATTACAGCAACAAAGAAAATGCAGCGCCGTTTTTGGAGAGAGGGATCAAAGTGGAGAGTTTCTGATTTAGGGTAAAATCTCATTTATATAATAGGGCAAAAATATCCGGTTATATCTGGTTAGGTTAATTATTTCCGGTTTAAATCAATATTTTATTTTAATTTCGTTTACGGTTTGAGCAGACTTATAAAGAAGTCTACAATCCTACTTTAAAATTATTCACTTTTGATGTTTATCTTAGATGGTTTAAAATGATTTATTTTTATTAAATTATAATTTATATAGATCATACTTGTTGACATTTGATTTATAGAAACAAATTTCAGTTTAAATTATTTTTATATAATTTTAAATATAAGATTTAATATTATAGTAGACTTCTTTATCAGTCTGCTGAGTAGACTTCATTAGTATTTGCAGACTTCGAAGGGTTATAATCGTAATTGAGACATCCGTTTTATTGTTTACTCATGTAGGAGATAATTGTAATTTTTCTATCCCTCTGACCTATTTTTGCAATAGGTTGAATTTGTGATATACTTTTGCATTTGCATTTAAATTGTGGCCTATTTTTAGCAATTTCTCCTCTTTTATTCCACTCTTCATATCTTCAACAAACAAAGATGGGCTCATGAACTTAACCAGAAAATGTTAAGTAATAAATTGATAGGCTCAGCATCCTAAGTTAACTTCATGGTATGGTGCTTTTGATAGACAGCCAATATATAAACAAATCATGATTAGATTAATTAATTCATAAGGAAATTTGACTTGGACCAAATCATGTATTGGCTCAAGAGATGCCATTCCCTTACATCAATGTTTTTGCATACCTGTCTAGCTCTTGCCACCACATTTCTACTTCTACACCTTTTGTCTATATACACACAAATTATACTTATTATATATAATATGTGTGTGTGTATGGTCTATTCTCATCTTATTATTTATTTTTGAATTTAATTAGCTAGAGTCTTATTATTCTTACTACAATTCCTTCTCACTAGAATTTTGAAAAATATACGGAAAAAATTAGTCTTCGTTCCAAAATAAATGCTGTTTTAAGATATGAGTGTGTTTTCTAAGAAAACAATGCCTAATATTCTATATATAAAATCATGAAAACTTTGAACATAATTTTATCATTTTAAACTACGTTATATTGTTAGATATATAGTTATTTTAATACATGAAAATATAACTGATATTTACAATAACTATGACAAAATAAACGAAATTGTTTCATGTATGATTCGTTATTTTTATTTTGATTTTTCGATTTAGAATGTAACCATGACCATATTATGTACAGGTATGTATATGTTTATATATCTCCTTCGTTTTGAAGAAGACGGAAACGACTTTTTTGGTTGAGAATGTAAAATTGCATAGTGTGAAGCATTATTATTGTTACTCATGAGGAAACGTGAAGGTGGACAAAGGGATAATTTTTAAAACCCTAATTAAAAATAAAATAAAATAATGATGTCCAATTGTGTATTTTGCATCTAATCAAATCTACACCTTTGAATATTGACTCTTCTTCTTTCCACTTCTTATTTTCTTAAGTTTATTTTTTACAAGAAAATAATTTCCATCCTCTTATTCTCAACTAATTCCCCCATTTTTCATCATGGCCAACACACAAATCCAACTATTGGCTAAAGTTACACCTATTGTATGTATAAGATAAACATTAAATAGAAAGTCTTCTAAGTAACTAAAAACATCTCTTAGCATACACATATATAACTTGTTGTTTTGCCTTCACCAATTACTCTCACTCTAGATATACACTCAATGTTCTTGAAGATGCCTTGTCACATGTACCAACCAATAAAGATATACTATTTTTTACGATTTGGCATCAGGTATTTGAGTTTATCTTAAGCGTCCAACTCATCTCGGATGTGAGCAAGTTTTGGCTAAAAATGTCTTGTAAGCCCACCACATATAAAACACTCGCGCCAAAATCCAAGTAACCAATGTGTTTGTCTCTGTATATTGTGTGATACATATATAGATAATTATGTTATTTATCTATATAACTTTAAAAAGAATATGAAGGAAATATAGAATATGAGATTGTTGGGTGAGGAGTAAGAGAGATTGAAAAGTGAGGATAGCATGTTTTAGGAAGAGAAGAATTGAATGTTCAAGAAGTTTTGCCCAAGAATTCATAATTTGGTGTGGTGGGCTCCTCTAAAGGGCAAAGAACAAAAGTGTGTTATGTCTCCATTACTATTTTCATTACTATTAGATTTTTAGTTTTATAACAATCACTACCATTGCTCTGTTTTGGTCAAATCAAGACAATAACAACCCAATGGTCACCGTTCAATTAGGCTATAGTAGAAATTGATTTTACATTTATTTTATCAGTATTTCAAAAAAATTTATGGCAGCTAGCTGTGTATATACTCTAAAAATTAGTTTGAACTTGAACCAAAATTTCTGATATCATCGTATATATACATATGTTTCTTCCTCGCCTAATGTTCAAAGCTAATTAATTTTTGAAATTTTATTAGGTTAAGCCAAGAGCAACAACCCACCTAATATCTATATAATACTACATACTCATAACTTGCAGTTTAGTTTGATAAAACTTGTTGATTATTGTTTAGTTGTTAGATTTTTGTTCCATCATGAACTCGTGATAATTTACTAACCCAATATATATATATATATAGTGTATGTGTGTGTGTTCGCGCGCAAATATATATCATGTCTTTGTCATGGACAAAGTCAGTTACCTGCAACTGCAATACCATAGTTTCTTAAATTCAATCAGATGTAACAGTAAATTTCATTTGAATCTACCTATTTTACAATCGTGAATAATATGAACTGTATTTAGTAAAACAAAAAAATTGAAATGCTAACAACAAAAAAATGAATAATACGATTACGCGAGCAGTGAATCATAAATTTACGACACTTTCTGTTTTTCGAACAATTTCGTAATTCTATTATACTGGATTTAAACAAATCTTAACATGGCAAATTTTGAAATACGTTATTTGAAGTAGACGAAGAAGAAAATAGTGTTACAAGAAAAGACGGTACCGTTTGATAGCCGCAATGAGCAAACACGACAGAGAGTCTTCTTGAGAGAAAAAGCAAGAAAACACCAAAAGGAAGAAAGCTTGAGAAGAATTTTTGAAAAAAAAAAATTATGTAAATTTCGATTAAGACAGATAAAGGTATATAATACGTACAATTATTTAGTCTCCAAAACATACTGAAATTATATATTTTTATAAAGGTAAAATTGGTTTATGTTTGCATATGTGCTTAGAAAAACTTGAATATGTGATTAAGGACAATGATTATATTAGTTTAAGAAGATTTTATCCAAACAGACGCGAAAAAAAAAAATATATGCCGAAATTACTTTCAGTTCTACAACTACTGTATACTAAATATCTCACAGGTCACCGAATATGTCAATATTTATACAAAAAACTAATAAAATGTCAGCTAAAGATATTAATATTAATATAACATTAAGTATTTTAGTTAAAAGTTTATAATTTTATAGAGAACTACCGTATAGAAATTTATATTATTTCTATTAACATTTACTGTTATTTCCTATAAATTTAGGGAATATTATCTACATTTTGTTATTTTGGGTTTACTGAAAAAAACTAGTAAGCAAACTACAAATGTGATTCATGAATCTAATTGTACATTTCTCTTTTCCAACATACATATACGTATATAACATATATAAAAATTAAGTAACATATATAATTTTGGTAAAAATATAAAGATGAAAATTTGATACTTGTAACTAATTGACTTTCTTATTTTCATTAGTAATATTTTATTTATAAAATACTGCTAAGATTGACGAATATATAGAAGTATGGAATAGATCTAAAAACGAAATATCCGTTTCCATTAAAAACAATAAAAAAGTGAATAAATCAAGATGCGAATGAAAGTAATTCAACATTGGGTTTATAATAAATGAGAATCATGCTTACTATGTGCACAAAAGAGACTTTAAAGCCTTCCCTTAAATACTTCCATTCCATTCCATTCCTCCTCTTCTTCACCATTTATTTCTCCTAAAATTTTTTTGTAACAATTCTTTAACAAAACAAATAAATAAAGAATCCCGAAGCAAAGTTTCAATCTTCACCACTTTCATCACCATGTCCGATTCAACCGTAGATACATACATATCTTTTGTGTGATTTATACATATTAAAGATTCTCATTAAGAACCTTCCTTCTTCTTCTTCTCTTGTTCATGGCGGTTCAAGCTCATCACCATCCTTCCACTGTCTTCTTCCTCAACAGGTACTCTCTCGCTCTCTCCTCTCCTCTCTCTCTCTCTCTCTCTCTCTCTCTATATATATATATATATATATATATGTGTATGTAATCATATGTTTGATGTTTCGATTTCTCAGAAACGGACAAGAAGGGAATGAATGCTCGCCGGAGCTGCACAAATCTCAGTTTCCTTCCATCAACGCCGGTTTGTTTTCTAATTCCAAACCGATCGGTTATGCTAAGAAACTAATCGGTTAATTATGTCAAAAAAAATTAATCGGTTTAACTTTTGGTCGGGAAAAAACAGGGGTCGATTCAAGAAAGCGAGCCAGAGAAGTTTCGTCCGTGATTGATTTAGAATTCACGGCGGCTCCGATGAATCCTCCGCCGTCTACTCCGCCGCAATTTATCGGAACTGGACGAAATCCTAATGTGGTATCCACCGGTCTTCGTTTGTCTCAGGGACAATCGCAGAATCGAGAACACCGGTTATCACCTTTTCCGATGATAACCGGAGATATCGCCGGAGAAATCAAACGGCAAACGGATGAGTTAGATAGATTTCTTCAAACTCAGGTGACTGTCTTGTTTTTTTTTTGGAATTTTGATTTGTATTTTTGATAAACAAAACATAAAATGTGATATTTTTATTCTCTTCTTGATTTTTGAAGTTTTTTTTTTGTTTGTTTGCAAAGGGAGAGCAATTGAGGCGCATGCTAGCGGAAAACAGTGAGAGGCACTATCGTGAGCTTCTGAGAACGACGGAAGAATCAGTTAGGCGGAGATTAAGAGAGAAAGAAGCGGAGATCGAGAAAGCCACGCGTCGACACGCGGAGCTTGAAGCACGTGCGGCGCAGATCGAGACGGAGTCACGTGCTTGGCAAGTGAGAGCGGCGGGGAGAGAAGCCGAAGCGGCGTCGTTACAAGCTCGATTGCAGCAAGCCTTTGCCCACGGCGGCGGAGTCACGGCGGCGGAACCAAAATCGGGTAGCGTAGACGGTGTGGATGAAGCCGAAGACGCCGAATCGGCTTACGTTGATCCCGATCGATTCGAATTGACCGGACCGAGTTGTAGGATTTGCCGGCGACGATCGGCGACGGTGTTGGCTTTGCCGTGTCGTCATTTGGCTCTGTGTAAAGGATGCGACGGCTCTGTGCGAGTTTGTCCGCTTTGCCTTAGCTCGAAGAATTCAAGCGTGGAGGTTTTCTTTTCTTAATGGGCCTTTCTTTAATGGGTTATACCAGACCCAGCGGTGGTATTTTCATAATTAAAACGAAATTTGTTATTATATATATAATTTAATTGAACATTTATATATTATATATACTTGAGTTTAAGTTTCTTCATCCTTGATTTCAAAGAAGCTGAGAGGTTGATGTACATATGATATTGAATAGCCACATGCAGTGGTTTTGTCAAATTCTTTTGTGTTTTTTTTTTTTTTTGGAACAAGGTAGTACACCGTGACATTTGAGATTAATATGAGATATGACATTTTATTTAATTATAGAATTTCTAATGCTGCGTATTATTTTTGTACTTCCTGTATAGATAGAATTTTAGTAGTGTTCCTGTTTTAGTTAGGATTTGGAATTATAGTTTTTTTTTAAGGCTTTAGAGGTTTCAGAACTTTTAATATGTAAAACATATTTTCTTATGTATGGTAGGTATATTTAAGTCTAAGGTTTGTTGTTATTTTTCAGATTTTCATAGATAGCTTTTTTGAAAGAAAACAAATTACAAGATAATATATTTTAGTTCTTTCGTCTTTGGTTCAGGTATATATTGGGATCTCAACAATTTCAATAATCAATGGATCACTGCCTTCTTATCACTATAAACTTTCGCTACGTGAATTTGTTTTATAAAAATAAAGAAAACGAATGACTCAAAATAGATGTATATAAATTGTATGAGAATAGATGCTAGATATGATTAAAATTTTCCTTTTAAAAAGAGTATTTTCTGAATTCTTTTCTCCAAAACCACTGAGCATTTCTTTTAGTCTTATTCCTGAGATGTCCCTTAATTCAATAGGGGGGGATAGGAACAATAATTGTAAACAACTCGTGACTTCCACATCACATAGTGCAATAGCAGACATATACCTATAACTCTATACGCTCATATCATGCCTTTTTTCAAACTTATAACAGTTTCAAAAATATATACTAATTAATACTATTCATGCCTTTTTCAAACTTATAACAGTTTGAAAAATAAAGTAATTAATACTATATCATATATATGCTCTACCTCCATCTATTCACCTTTTATTTGAATATTTTATTCAATTTGCTCATATAATTTTAGATAACTTCCCATATTTTTCGTTTACTTGCATCTTTTTTTTTTGTCATATCTTCTGTCATATATTTCTAGTTTTGCAATCCTAATTCTAATTACTATTATGTAGAAGATATGCGAACTGGTAATAAAGAACAAAAAAAAATCAATAAACTTGCGTGACCAGAACAAAAAATATTGGTAAACATAGACTTTAACGAACAAAAGTGGGTTTTGTTCACATTTGAAAATGGTAAAACAAAGAGTCATTAAGTCAGTAAACATGAGACTGCTTTTGTCTCAAATCAACGAAAGTGGAAGACCAACTCATACCTGCAGAAATAAAATAAAACGATAATTATATATTCTATATTTCTACTAATTGATATATAATCCATATTTCATTCCAAAGTATGCAGGTAAGTTAGTTATTTATGTTTTTGTAATGAAGATTGTGCCCATATAGTACTCTTAGCTTAATTAGTTATTCCCTTACATCTAGTTTACATGCGTCTAAAAACTTTTTTTCTCAATATCAAATATTTGTAATCCTTTTTTAGTTAAAATTAACCGTGTGTATGTTGTACCTACGTTAATGATATATTTTTTCTTCTTTCTGGTAAATATTTTGTTAATGACATGACTTCGTGATATCTTTCTTTGTTTTTTACGTTAGGAAGTTTCAGTATCATATCTCTAAAAGTTTGGGAACGATCTTTAATAACATTTGTGGCTGATACATGAACATAAACCATCTATTCTGACTTCTGAGACAAAATACTGGACATGAAACTAATTTAACAGTACTAAAACATAACATTTTAAATAGTTAAGCTATTTTTACGTATCTAACTTATCCGATGCAAGAATCAAATCATCTAAAATTTACTGTTGGTGCACACATTAAGATAAAAAAAAATATGTATGTATATATATATATATATTTACGAACTGATTCTTAAAAGGCTTGCTAGCTGTGTCAATTCATTCGAATTTCTAGTAAAATCCGATTATCATATCACAATTCCTTATCATATTTCAAACCTACACACCATATTTTCTGTCAATAATGACAGCTTGGAACATAACTGCCCCAAAACAAAAGACAAAAAAATATATTAAATATAAACATAAAAAGAATGTTGTGATTAGAACACTATAAATTAGAGGGTCCATGAGGATGTGATGATGCATCGCATAGACAATGATGCAAAGACATGAAGGTGCGGTTCGATCAAGATTAAATTAGTAAAGTTAATTAATTTAGAAGAAGAATAAAAGAGAACTTAATCCAATGCTTCGATATGTTCCAAGTTTGGTGAGACAACTTTCTTTATGAGTTGCATCAATAGACTTTAAAATTTCACGTGACAATAATGCAATCGCACTATTTATGTGAAAACAAACAATATGCAATATGACATGGCATCTGAGTGCATTATTCGTTTATATCTTGCAAAACAAAACAAGTACATTTATATGATATGACCAAAAACATAATCAAAACTGAAGATAGACGCGACTTATTCGTTCATAATTACGAACCGAGCAGTAACAAAATTGAAGATAGACGCAAAATTAAACCAGTTGATAATTTTTCGGTTACGACAAATTGAAAATGATAATTTCGAGGGAAAAATGATATTGCAAAAAAAAAAATGAAGAAGATGATATTGCTATTGGAATTTGAAAGTTGGGGAAAACGCAGTCTAGCCAAAGGTAGTGGTAAACAATGAATGATAAATTACTTAAAGTGCGGCCCAAATTGAAACCCCAATCAGTTCACAAATGGCCCATATACTAACACAATTGGTCCAGCGTCATAGTTCTTACGGATCTCATTTGTCTTTTCGATTATATTTCTAGCCCAAAGTCGGGTGTTTACCAAACGAGAAACTATATAATTTTATAGCTTTGTTTTTTACTTAAGGAGTTTTGCCAAAAATAATTGCTATGATGTTTATAATACATAAAAAAATTTATGATACCATGTTAATGTGCCTTACAATGTTAGGGGTTTAAATATATATATATATATATAATATATATAACATAACTTATATAATGTCACTAAAATCAAAATATGATTACAAAAGAAATGGTGGTAAGGGATGTGAGTTTTTAGTGGGATCTACCTACATAATTTAAACCTTGATTGGTAAAAAAATGCTTTAAAAATGCTGTAAAGACTACAGACATTTCTTACATCTCTTACCAATTATACCGTTGAAAATTGAATTTTTTTTTCGTTTTTAGTCAACCTTGCAAACTATATTTAATATGTATATTTTTTGACTAGTTTTGAATTCAAATTTCAATTTTTGAAACGGTCTAGACCGAGAACGTTCATAAGTTTGAATAAAAGTTACAACCATAAAAGTTGATAACATGATATTGTTTTTATTTATCACAAATAAAATAAACAACTGGAAGTTGAAACAACTTAATTGTAATAAAAACAAGGTTTTCAACAGTTGAAATTGTGCTACCAAGAGAAAAGGAAATAGATGTGCTGATCGGCTTGCCAAGAAGAATGTTATACACACGAGATCGGCTAATTTGTGATAATTTGTCCAAATTATTTACTATTTTGCATGAAAATGACTTTGTAAACTGTTAATGGTATAAATGAAATGAAGTTTTGACCACACGAAAAAATGAAATGAAGTTTTAAAAATATTGTAACAAAAAAGAAGGTGGAAAATACCAAACCGGAGGTTGATTTGTCTAAATATGCGTGGTATTTAGCTAAGATCCAAACTCTTGTTTAAGAGCAAAACGTCATCATGGTAGATCCAAAAGTTGTTTAACTAGGTGTATTGCTTTAGCCAACCTAATGTTTGGGAATCTTCGATAGAGCAAGTGTGCTCTTGGTATTATCAATTTTAACAAATAATATTGACTTAATTTATTAAATTATATTCCTTCTGTTTCACCAAAATTGTTGTTTTAAAGTTTTATTTATGTTTCATAAAGAGTGTCGTTTTATATTTTCAATGCAGAATTTTAAACAATATTCCAATTTTAACCATATTAATTTAATATATTAATTAGAAAAAAGTTATTTAATGTATTAATAAATGGCAAATTAGTATTTTTAATAATTTTCTTAATAAATATGAAAAATGTCAGAATGACACTTTTTATGAAATGGAGGGAGTAGTGAAGATCTCTGTATTAGATTTATATTTGATTTGTTTATGTGATGTATTTGGTACATACACTCAAAGTAATCACACCAATAATGGCTCATGGTGCGCCACAATGGTTGCAACTTCTTTTATAAAACACATCACATGTAACGAACTCAGCAAAGCAATTATCGATTTTAATTATGTTTCGCTATTTATAAATAAAAAGCCTAGAAACTATCATATGAAAACATGTGCTTGGGATTGTCTCATTATATTCGTTGGTTATGATGAGTATTATATGTGAAATTTTTATCTACCATATACTTTCTCTGATTTTTTTTTTTTTTTGTTTTACGGCCCAAAACTTCTCTGATTATTAATTTCGTTTCTCATTCTTGTGAGATTCTTATAATTATCAAAAAAAAAAAACGTTATGCTGGTTAATTCGTATCATTAAGGGGACCGAGTCGGTGACTGTGGGGACAATAGAATCAGTTTCTAATCGGAAGGCCAAAAATTGAAGAAACCTCTTATAATTACTGACCGTCCGATTATGAAAACAACAGATGATACTAGATTCAGTGTGAAGCAGGCAATTCGTAATCGGTTAGCTCTTACGTGTCACAATTTGTAAAGCCTTTAAATCACACGTGTACTTTTTGAAAGTTTCGAGAGATCCAATATCTGAGGACAACGCAGGTAAAATGGCATTCATATATTTATTTTCTGAATTAAATGTTGATTTTACGTCGGTCTAACTATTCCTTATTTCCCTCCTATACTATCTTGGTGTATAGCTAATTCTCGACAAATTGTTTGGTGATTATTTTCTTATCCAAAGTAATTAAATAATACATTAATTAAAAACGTATATGCGTAAAAAAATTTAGATGAAAAAATCGTAAATAAATCTGTTTAATTATCGATAATTTAAACTATATTAATTGAAAACAAGAAACAATGATAAAGTCATAAGCGACATAAAAGACATACTAATTTTAAACATATTAAATAATATTTAATACACTCTTTGTTCTAAAATAATTTATTTTCAACATAAAACGTTTTTCAATTTAAGATTTGTTTTATGATAATTTCTGCTTTATTATTTGTTTTATTATTTTTTTAAGAAAAAATAATTTTTAATATTAGTTCAATTTTATCCAAATAGGTAGAGAAATTCAAATATAAAAATATTATTTTTAATCTGTATATATTTTTTAAATATGAACTTTTTTTTTTAAATTCGAGATAAATTAGAAGAGGAAAATATAAATTATGACAACTGAGTCTAGGGGCGATGGATTCTCTGGAAATGCCCGGCGAAAAGGAGTGGCTGAATTTTTTTTTTTTATAAAACAATTTTTATTTCTACGGTATAGAATTCCTTTTTTTTTTTTAAAAAATCATTTTTTGGTTCCAAGGTCAATTACAAAAATCAATTAGCAAACATTATTGGAAACTAGGTGAATATCCGCACATTATGTGCGGGTTTTATTTTCAATTTTTTTAATTTCTTTTTATATTTTTATAAAAAATTAATATAATCATCATTTGTTATTTACTTACTTGTTAATATTTTATTCAAAGAAAATTAAAATATTAAATATTATTTAATAATTTAAAGTTATATTAAAATTAATAAATATCATCAATATTTTTAATTAGTTATAACATAAAATTTGTTTAACATTTACACAAATATTAACTAATAGTCAATTAATAAAAAATTTTAAATTAATAGAATCATCATTTTATTTGTTACTTGCTAGTATTTTATTATAAATAATCTTTAAAAAATAATTTAAAATATATATTGAATATTATTAAGTAATTTACAGTTATATAAAAATTAAATATATATCTATCAATATTTTTAATTAGTAATAACATAAATTTTTGTTTAACATTAATATAAATATTAGTTAAGAGTCAATTAATAAAACAAACTTTTTATATTCTTTAAATGCTTTAAAATTTAATATTAAATTTTTATTAATTAAAATTTAAGTGACATACATATGTCAATTTCTCCAATGCTGATGTGTGTTTTGTATATAAGATGACATCACCATGTTTGAATTGTTGACAGACTGATACTGAAAGTTACTCACAAAGAAAAACAAATTACAAACCTATTAATTAGACCCAAATGTTTTATTTGGTTTGGCTGCATGCTGCATGGACAAATAATTTGTTTTTTAACAATAGGGCAATTAATTTATAACATAAATTTAATATGATCATTTTTTGTTTAAGAAGTTTAATATTTTTATGGTATTTGCAAACACGTAGAAGAATTTTGTTTGAGCTGGAAGAATTTTGTTAAAAATATTTAAAACAAGACTGTAAAATATTTCACACGTATTCCTTAGCGCGTGTAAAGTGTATCACACTCCAAGGCCCGTCTTATTTTCTCCCCATCAATACATTAAAAACATTATTTTTTAGTATAGTGTTGAAAACTTGAACAGAGAAACTCCTTTTTTTTAGCAATTGTAGTCTACCAAATTATTTATATATTTTTTATATGTAAATTAAACTGCACGTTAAAAATATAGGTTAACCACTTGGAGCTTTATTTCCTAAATATTTACTTGAGTAATATATAAATATACACACACATTTCACTTACTTCTTTGACAAAAAAATTTGAAATAAAAGAGGTTTTTGTGGTGTAACAAAAATTGGGACGGTGTTAGTGACTCGGTCTGTTAATGATGTTGTGGACTTTAAGTTCGTTTGAATTGGTATTTTTTTTCCTTTGAGAAAAGGGTTTCGTTTGAAGTAGTTGTTACGTACCAAACATCCTTCTATCACCAATTTAAGAAATATGGATCTTTTAGATATGAGCTCTATGGAAAAAAAAGATACGACAATATGAAATGTGATACGATGACATGAATATATGTAAAAGGATGATAGCAAAAGAGCACACAGAAAGCACTTTTATCTGACTTTTAATTTCATACAAACAGCTTCATGTTAGAAAAGTTTGTACACAAAAAGAATAAAATCATAAAAGTGAATTTATGAAAATATATCTGCAAATTTTTGAGATAATGAGATGAGTTTCACTTGGTTCTAATCGATGATATGTGTTTTTTTTTGGAGAAAAATGATGACTGTTTTTATCACAAAATTTGTTAGAATTTAAATTTACAAACCATGCATTTCGCCATTTTGCGAGTACATTGACAAAATCAGACAATTTCCAACCTTAATCTGTTTAATTATAATTTACCTCAACGTTACAATGTTTTTATTTTTTTTTCACCATATATTAGTGGTTTCATAACCGACTCGAAATCAAATAGTATTGTTTTAAGAATTATCTTTGCTTTTTGTCTGTTTAAAACATGAACATTGTTGAGACCCATTAAAATCTCTTAAATAACTTTTTAATAATAAAGTTGAGTTAAAAACGTCTCTTGTGGTTTCAATTTTAGAGACGTTTTTTGCTTTTTCAAGAATTCAACTTATTAAAATAATGTTTTTATTCATAAGAGACGCAGATGAAGACTGCGTTGTTTATGCTCTTAGTGAATTCGGTTTTGATAAACGCTAGTTCATCGACAAGAAACCAAACCTTACCAATTACCATACCATATTCACAACGAAATTTTGATTGATATTCAATTAATTATCATTCTCGATTCCACTATGCTATGATGTCCTCATATCCACTGTCCACACACAATTCTTCCAAAAATCTACAGTAATGTTTTTACTTATTACATACAGCAGTCACAACTAGTCACACTCACACCTATTCTACATTAAAAAAGACCGACCTTAACCGCACCACTACTATTTGTAGCTCACCAAGCTCCTCAAAGTCTTCGCAAAAACGTCACCTACCACGGAAATTCATAGAGGAGACAAAACGACAATTTTATTCATTTACTCTTTTACCGAATTATATTAAACAAAAAAAGGGTACAAAATACAAAACAATTAAAAAATAAATTTCCCATTTTTGTCGAGAAAGAAGAAGAAAAAAATACACAAGTAGTAAAGTGGTGTCGTCATTACGGTAACGCCTTAAAACAAAAACTCTCACGCGTGTGGGGTCCACTTCCTCCCCCGAATCCCCATGATTTTCTTTAACGTCTTCCAAGTGCTTGTGGGACCCATGTTTTATGGAACCGTGACGAAATTTAGCTATTTACATTTACGACCCTTAACTTCTTTTAATTTCAATATTGCCGCTATTTTGTTCTTTCCTCTTGATTTGTTTACCTTAAAACTTTTCTTCCAATACCTTAATTTCTTTTTTCCCTTTTGACGGATGTGATCACCTATTCAAACTTTGTTTTTGGCTTGGAAATATGTATATTTTAGATATTTATAGTAAATAATCTTAATTTTTTTATTTAGTTTATTTATTTAGTTTATTTAATTATTTATTAAATAAATAGTCTTAAGTGGTAATGAGGTAAAATTAGAAACGTATGGCTAATGATTTTTAAAAAAATTGATTATCATTTTAGTCAGATACTTCTCATTGAAAAGTTAAAGCGAGTAATACTTTAATAATATTATTGTCGGAGTGAAAAGAAAAGAAACTAAAAAAGTAATAATTGAATTCAAAAGCAAATGTGTAAAAAGTATTTTACATTTTACTAAGCTCTCTCGAAAGTTCCTCTGAAACTGCGGGGCGAATAAGTCACGAAAAAATTATTTTCTAACGCCTCAAAGTATTTCTAGAAAATAACAAAAGTGGTTTTCGATTTCTTGTACTTCCAAAACAAAGCAAAGAAAGGTTTTTTGGTTACCACAAAGCCAATAGATTCCCTCTCTCTCAAAATTCGCCCCTTGTTTCTTACTTTCTCTCTCTTAAACCCCCAAAACAAAAGATCTTTCGCTATAAAATCCCACTCACACTTTCCTCACAAAAACCTCTCCACCCACAAACTCTTTCTCTCTCTTTCTCAACCAGAGAAAAAATGGAGGTTTCAACGAGAAAGCCTTATTTCATCGAAGAAGACGATGAATTAGCTTCTTCTCTATCGGAGATGGAAGCTGGGGTTTCTGGTAACAACAACGGATCCTCACAAAACGGTGTCGTTCCAAGTCCTTTCTCTTACGCTAGAATAAACAGTCTAAGAAACACGAACTATTGTCACAATAACTATCCTCAGAGTTATTATCACCATCAATACTCTGTTTCGTCTCCGAGATCTGCTTTTTCCGGAAGATTCCATGATTTCAGATTCGACAATCAACAGCCTCATTTCCTGGATTCGTGTTTCCTCTGTAAGAAGCCACTTGGTGATAACAGAGACATCTATATGTACAGGTAATTTTAGATCCTATACATCAGATTTTATTTTTCAATTTCTCTCCTTTTAATCAATATTGTGAAAAACCCAGAAAAAAAGAACTAATTTTTCGATTAACAATTTTTTAAAAGAAGATATTAGCCACGATCTAATTTCAAATTCTCTGTTTAGTCGAAATAATGAAAATTTAGATTCTGTTTTGAATTAAAGGATTTGCTTTTTTGGGATACGAATTGCTTCAGTTTGTTGATTAAACAGTTAAACGATTCATGGGTCTGATTCAAAGTTTTGATTTTTGTGATTTTCCAGAGGAGACACACCGTTTTGTAGCGAAGAGTGTAGACAAGAACAGATAGAGAGAGATGAAGCGAAAGAGAAGAAGCAGAATCTGTCTTATTCTGTGAAATCAGCAATGAGGAGAAAAGAACAAAGAAGCTCTTCTTCTTCTCCAACTAGATCTCGTGATTATGCTTTTCACAATGGAACTGTTGCAGCTGCTTGAAATCCGAATCTTGGGGAGTTATAATAATAATTAGGTTAAAAGGAAAAAAACATCACAAAACAAAAGAAGTGAGATCGTCTCTTAATATGCTTCAAAGCTGGTATTTGGGTTTTTCTTTTGATCTTTTTTTAGTCTAAAGATCATTTTACTTTAGCTTGAAGTTTCAGTCTTTCAGGGAAAGAAGAAAGCTAAAGATCCTTTAACTTCTTCCTTGGTTTTTCTCCTTTTCTTTTGTTTTTTGTTTTTTTTTTTTTTAAACTTAAAAAGTTTTGGGAGTATGAGAAGAGAAATTGTAAATGCCTGTGTGAATTAACGTCCATGGCATGCTTTGAGTAATTTTTCTTGTTTCTTTTGGGTGAGGACAAAAATACATATGTAATATATTCAACCATGAGAATATATATACTATAGATCTATGAGACTTAAACGTAAGCTTAATTATTTTATGTTTACTTATGCTTTGTGATTTCATACAAGATTGAGTAATAGTAACAAATTGATTGTTTTTGCGGTCGTTTTGTGACCTGCGAAAAGTTGGAAATAAAGGTATAATAAGTATCTGGTTTTTCTTCAAATGCTTTTTGGTAGTACAAGTTTATTTTTCATTATGAAAATGTTAGTGCTTAGTACGATATTTCTTTTTTTTGTTAAGGTAAAATGTCAGTACAATATATTCCAAAATAGATAAAGAAGTTAGAAGTTATGTTTCAAATCAGCGGTGGCCCGGGAATAAATTAAAATTTATAAGTTTAAAATGTAATTTGCATTTTACTTAGGCTTATCAACTTCATCGCTTGAATAATCATCCTTGCTTTCGTCTCTATTACTGAGTAATACTGATCCAAATTCGCATGATGAATCAAACCACCATTGCGTTTGCGTATCTTCATCGAATCATCGTACAAAATATGAAAAAATAGCGACTCTACCATTCTAAGTTATCATCAAAATAAAAAGTTTGATAAGATTTGAAACTTTTAACAAATAATCTGCATATATTCGATAAATATTGATTTTTCTTTCAAATTTTTTACTAGTATCGTTAAGTTTTCTAGAAAAGGTTTAAGAAACTAACACCATGATTATCGCGGTTTTTTAGATTAGTGTTTCAAATTATTTATAAATATATTTAAAACCAGAAAAGATAAAAATGGTTAGAGATGTTTCTTATTTTAGAACCATAAGAGCATGTTTATTGAGGGTTCTTAAGAGAGATTTTTAGCTTTCTCTGTTTTTAGAATAAATCTAAATCATCTAAATAGTTAAGAACCGATTTTTAAAATCCTTATTTAAAAACCAATCATGTCTATTATTGAAAGTTTGGTGTGGTGAGATTTAAGAAAAAGAAAGATTATGTATAGAATTAGAGAGTATCAGTAGTATATAAAGAATTCATTGGAGTTCAATTTTTTTTACAATCTGAATTTTGATTTTTACTGTGAAAATAATTATTGTGTCAATGAGCTGTTGAGCAATATTAATTCACACAATTACTACGTCTTTTTTTTAATGTGCAACTAACACGTCCTTAAAATAGAAACTTTGGCTAGAAAACATAATCAGATTCTGCAGAGGCATATACTACACTTAGGGAACAAGTTTTACTTTTAACAAAACAAATGAAAGCCGCAAGTGCACAGCTAATCAGTTGTAATATTTAGGGATCGAATCCACAGAGATTTGTGTGCCTGGTATTCTTCTACGGTTTTTAACATTATGTCTAGACTAAATTGGTTTTAAAGGTTGGCTGTTTTTCTTGCGAATTAAACTAAAACAAAAAAAAAGAAAATAAATTTATCCTAAAAAGCAGGTAAAGAAAATGAATGAAATGCAAATGGAATAAGTAAAATATCGAACTAAACAAAAATAAGGCAAGTAAAATATCGCATGAAAGGTAAATAAAGCAAGTAAATAACGAACTAAGGAAATTGAAATGCAGGTCTAAGAAAGCAAGTAAAAATCGATGGAATTGTAAACTATGACTAAAAAAGCTGAGCTTTTGGGAACTCTAAGGGATCATAATCGGTTTTAACATTAGTGTAGATAGATTGGGATTGACGGATAACAATATATGGGTTCTAGAGCTAGAGTACGACGGTATGACTACGTCACTGTCGTGATCATAACCAATTGTTTCTCGCAACCCTGACCAGTAGGTTTCCACTCTGGCCCTGGAAGGGAGAGAATGCAAGAGCTGCACAAGACTCGTCAATACTCACGATCTCGCCGCAGGTAGGTTTCCACTCCTACGGAAAAATCTCCTGTTTCATTCTAGGGCTGATACTTAATGAAAACTTTCGCAACACTAACTATCTAGATCAGTGATTCAGACTGGATATACTCCTAGTTTCTACTGCAATAGAACAGTGATGTGGTTGTAATATAAAGGATTCGGAATCCAGAGGACCAGTGTTACTCTATGAATTTGTGAGGATTGAATTAAAGCTAAGACGAAAGATGGTTTGCTACGAAAACTAAAAAGTAAACAGAATGGCAAACAATGATTTAAATTCGAATTAAAACAAGCACTAGACCAAAGCAATTCGCAGGAATTTCAGAGATAAGAACCAGATGACTATTCAGGGCACAAGTGTAACGCAAGTCTCGAACTCAAACAGAAAAGCTTATCGATCCACTGTCGTGATCTCGATAACTTTGTCTAACAACCTAAATTCTAAACTGTCGTTTGAACCTAGAAAATTGCAGACAAGCATTAGCTAGCAGGTTTGATATGTTCACGATTTGCCTTAACTTCAACTGTCGTTGGCTAAGGACAAATCGCTCACCAATGTTTATTCTAGCAACCTATTAAACTTTTGATGAACAGATTAACCTAAAATCGCAGATTGAGTGATCAATTCAACCTAAGCATTAAGTCTAACAATGGTGAAGACAATAGATATCAAGCCCTATTTGCATCTAATCCTCTAACTCATGAAATCCTTTGAACGCTTTAATCTAGCTAAGAGATCTACTCAGACATGGAGAAAAGAAACACAGAATTAGATGGAAAGGAATTCATGAATTAAAATCGCAGAAGAGATAATAGGGTTCAGAATTCTTCTCAAAGTGTAGCAGATTTCTTCTCCCAAAAGCTTACAAGTAAAAACTCTATGGTTCAGGAAATTGTAAAAAGAAAGCGTAGAAGAAAAGATAGGCGGCTTGGACTCTTTTTATTCCTTTCACGCGGCTTGAGATTATGTAAAGATGTTTTCCTTATTTTTCTCCCGTCTGGAGCAGGTGCTCCACGAAGGGTCCAAACCGGGAGCAGGTGCTCCGGGGATGATTTCTCCAAAAACGTGTGAAACAGCTCCTTATTGCTCAAATTCATCTCCTTTTGCTCCAATGCCTCCTAAACACTCCAATCCTTTGATAAGGCCTCTAAGTCACCTGAAACTTCCTGAAAAGACTCCAAAAACTCCTAATACAATCAGTAAACACAAGTTAGAATGAGTCAAAATCTCCACTCATCAACTCCCCCGAACTTGAATCCTTGTTTGTCCTCAAACAAACTCAAATTCAACTCCAAAAGAATGACTGGATAAAGCTGGGAACTCGCAAAACTCAAAAGACCGTAAACCTGACCAAGGCATGTGACAATCTGCTGCAAAATCAATCAAAAATCTAACCTCCATGTACTTCTCCGTAGACGCTACAGCTTTCCAGATTAGTCCCTCAATTTCATAACATCATCCATGTCCCATCATCGCTGAGTCTCATCGATAAAACCAGTGCTAAGGACCTTCTAGACTCGTTCCCATACTTATACCTCAACAAATTGACCATACTACACAAAAGTACCTTTCCTCTCCCCCGAATTTATTCACTTTTCAAGCTGTTTCGTTTTTTTTTTTTTTTTTTTTTCGGCACATATAACAAGGTTCAAAGACGCGAGTATTGATGGTGATTGCCACCGAATCCCCGGTTTGTCCCCTCATCATATATCAAAGGTGTAGGCGAATAATGGGGTCATAGGAAATTTTCATACCCCTCGCTTCCATCCCTTGTGTGATCATTCCACTTTAGAAGTAAAATAATGGGATCCTTGGAAATTTTCCTAATCCTTTACTTCTAAAAGAAAATCATTTCAATCTTTTCTGCCTTTTGATCATTTTTTTTTTTAGAAACAGCCTGAAACAATGCTTAGAACATGAGAGAGGAATACCAAATCTATCACACAGGTCTTTATTTGTCAGGTAAGAATGAGGAGTCAAGCCTTATGAGCACTAACCTGATCGATGAGGAAAATGAAGAGCTGAGAAATTAGCTCAGGTTCAATGGATTAGTCAAGAATTTTGGGCTCCTCTAGTCTACTGCTGGTCTTTGGATTTTCCATTAGTCGATCTAGATGATTCTGCAGCAATGATCACTGAAACAAAACGGTCAAGATTTACAGATGGTCTGAAATCATCATAGAATTGGTCATTATTCCCACAAGTTTTGACTTGACTCATATAACCAACTGACTCAAAGAAACAAACTAAAACTGACTCAAGAAAAACACAAGAAAATGCAAAAGATGACAAGATCCTCCCCCGAACTTATTATACACCGTCCCTGGTGTACAAATAGGAGCAGAGAAAAATCCTGTCGAAACAAATAAAAGAAAAGAAACCAAGGCGGATAATACAATGGTGGTAGAGAGATGTTACTAGCGGTCAGTGAGTGGAGGTGTCCTCCAGGCTCTCACTACCAGATCCACCAGTGCGACGTCTGCGTCTCGGGTGCCTCTCCGGAGAACTGGCTGCGGTCGCTGTGCTGCTACGACATCCACTGGTAAGCATCTGCAACAACCTCTTCATGAGGCTGTTGTTCTTCTTTGTAGACGCGACCATCCACCTCCGAAACTCTGCATCATCAGGATCATCAGAGATAGGAGCCAAATCGAACTCACCAGCATCAGCTGAAACGTAGTCAGGCAGCTCCTCATCTCCCTGCGGTGAATGTGGATAGCATGAAGAACTGGCGCGAGCAGGTGCTCCAGAATTCGGAGCGGGTGCTCCGTCGTGTGCTGCATCAGCTAAAAGTGGCACCTCCATCAGGAAACGCAGGTTAGCTGCAGTGTTTAGTACGGTCATGGCAGGATTTGGGAGAGGTGTGCGCTGTGCAACTCCGTAAGCACCTTTGTAGCTGTAGGTGTTCTCATCGCATAGAAAACCTGAAGTCAGCAGATGGGCTGTGTCCATTCTCCTTCGGCTCACATCTTTTGTAGCATACCGAAGAGGAATATGAGCAAAAGTGAAAAGCGCTGTGAGGAGACTCCCAATGTAAATGACCTGCGAACTCCCAAAAGGTTTGGTCCTCACTGCGCATATGGTTTGCGCCAGCTGAACTCCAAAGTTGATACTGTGCTCGACCGGGACGCTGACGCTGTAAGAGTCTGCAACCAAATCACCACAACCAAAGTAAAGCAACATCAAAACATCCAGCGCTACCTTATTCCCAGA